GGAAGAATCTTCCTGACATCCACTAATTATGCAAAAAGGCGGCGTCCATGCTGCTAGACGCTTTGATCCGTGTAATTATTGGTATTTGGGTGATCTATAATTTACTTATCTCATCCGGGGCTGAGGATTCCGATTTGTAGTTGGGGGTGGGGAGAGGAAGAAAACGCGCCTCTTGGCTTGCAGAGGTGGGGGCCAGGGAGCAGGAGGGCGCGCATCCTCCCCGGGGCGCCCCATTAAAGACCAGGGGTGAGGGAGGAAGGCACGGCTGGGCTGCGCGTCCGTTGGCTGCCACGGTGCTGGGGTCCTGTCTGTCAGTTGGAGGGGCCTGTCAGGAGTTGGAGGGTCGGGCCGGGAAGATGAACTAGGTTTGCCAGAAGCTGTCATTTTTGTTTTCCAAGTCTACGAAGGGCAGGAGAGGGTTGGGCCAGCCGGGTTCTGGCTAGCGAGGCAGAAGGACTGTCATAAAGGGATTTTGTGTCTGAAACGCCAAAACGTCTGGGACTTTGGGCCATAAGGAGTTGGGGATTTTGTTTGGTCAGTTGTAAGTGCCAGAATGTGGAACGTCTCAGATTTTCTTGAAAGAAAACTAGGCAGCTCAAGAGCCATGGATGTGAAGAGGGGCTTTGTTGCTGATCCTCGGCACTCCCTCATTCCCTCTTTTCAGTGACTAGTGTTGTCATTGCTTTTGTTGTTAAAAGAGACTAAAATGGCCCCAGCCCAGCCCTTGCCATTAATTATCAGGGCATGGTCCATATTGGCTTAAAATTGGAATTTCTAGACGCTAAGGAAAATCTTTCTGTCTCTGCTCTTGACCATAAAGAATAGACTCAAAGAAATAACTGAGGAGAAAGTGCTTTCCTCCCCTGGGATGGAGACTGGAGTCTTTGCAAATAGAGCAAAAACCAACAAAACAAAACAAAACCAGAATTAGTATGTTTCACGGATCGAGTTACAGTTATAGCCAGGACAATTGTCAGTGAGAAAGAGTGAGAGCCAATACAGAGGCGAGGGAGACCGGTACAGGACCCTGAGAGTCTGTTCTCACCTAGTACATGTCTGGAACAATCTGGATGTAAGGATGAGTGCATAAAGCCGACCCTTTCTTCCCGGCTGCATGGTATGCACTGCTTTTGATGTTTGCATTGGAAACAGGAATGTTGCTCCTGCCCAAGTGAGTTCTTAGAATAAGAGAAAGCAAGACTGCGATGTGCATCTAAGGCAGCTTGGGCTGTGCTGTGTGTTAAATATTTATTTTGCCAGCTAACTCTATTAAATCTGCAGTCTCTCTAATTCCCAGAGTTTGGCTCGTTTCCAGTTATTCATTATATGACATTTGGCTAGAATTTGCCAAGTGCTGAGGGTTGAAGGAATACAAAATTCAGAGGACATCTTGCATTGAAAAAAATGGAGAGTCTTAGGTAGAATCCCTGTCCCACTACCAAACATGTAAAACAGGTATAATAGGATTTGACTATTTTCATTCCTAAATTACTTCATTTCCATAATAAGCTCTGTGGAAGAGTCTTTTGAACAGTTAGCTTTCTGGGCTAATATTTAGAATATTCATTCATTTACCAAAAAATCCAAATACCTCAGAGGTCCTGTGGGTTCAGTTTCAAACCACCCCAATAAAGAGACTGTCACGAGGTAAATGACATAGATTTTGTTCTTTCCCATGGCATATAAAAATCAAGTTTCCACTACACTGCAGCAGTTTGAGTGTGCCATAACATTTAGTATATGGGGAGGAGACGTAATGGCTTAGTGGTTATGAGTGGGGCTGCTAACCAGAAAGGTTCGCAGTTTGAAACCACCAGTTGCTCCACAGGAGAAAGATGGACTTTTTATTCCCATTAAGAGTTACAGTCTCAGAAATCGACAGAGGCGGTTCTGCCCTGGCTGATGGGGTTGCCAGAAGTCCGCATCAGCAGGGAATTTGGTTTTGTTTTTAGGACCTAGAGACATGCAGTGAGCTTTGCTTTTGGTAAACAGTGCCGATCGACTTGGAAGCAGGGTAGGCAGAAAACGTCATTTTGTTAAAAAAACAAACAAAACGCATTATCTGCAAGGCGCAATAAAATGAGGTACACCTGTACACTCCACTTCCTTAAGACTTGTTGCATAAAATAATGCGTGAAAAACCCAAGTGGTTAATTCTTGCTAAAGTGTAAACCCAATTGTATTGACCTTATACATTTAATGATCTTTATTGTTTAATTGTCCTCTACAGTGACACGCAGAACTAAGAACTTCGGGCCAGTACAGCACGACACAGGAACCGCAGCCCCAGCAGGTACGTGGATGAGAACAGCCGCCCACCAGTCAGTGGAGAGTCTTGTTACTTGGTATTCTTTCCGCTTCCTGTCTTGCTCATCTGAAATACCTCACCCAAAAAACCAAAGCTACTGCTTTTGAATGGATTCCAACCTGCACTTACCTCTAGGGTGACCTATATGAGTAGACCTGTTCCTTAGGATTTCCAAGACTATAAATCTTTGTGGGAGCAAACAGCCAGCCTCCTCTTTCTTCCTGCCCAGGGGCTGGTGGCTTTGAACCACCAATAATGTGATTAACAGCCTACTGCTTAACCCAGTGTGCCATCAGGGGTTCGTATGGTGATCTTAAGGAATATATAAAAAATTCTTGAGTAAGAGTGCATGCATGTGTGTTCGAAATGTTTTCTTCAATGTAAAAATCTCGGCATTTTGTTGGACTGGCTATCTGCTAGCAGTGCCTGGCACGTAGTATACCCCGTGCAGGTGTTTGCTCTTCATCAGCATTGTTTGTCATGAGAAAGCATCATTCCTAATCTCATAAAGGCATCTCCACTGGACTGAGGGAGAGGTGTTTATTCTGGCAACTTATGACGATAAATCATGCAAGGAGGATAACCCGTCATGGTGATGGCAGCGCCGACAAAGGCAGTTTCTGAACTGATGCGGAGGAAAACTCACTAGCAGTAGAAAGACCTCAGACAGTGAAATAGAACTTTACATAACGAACTCATATGCCAGGTTCTTGTATTGAATTGTAATGTAATCATATGCCTTTATGGATGAGGTAATTCCTTCAAACCAAACCCATCCAGTTGATTCCAACTCAGGTCTATCAGAAACCCATGCTCAGCTGGCTTTTCCAGGGCTGAACTTTGGGGACTGATGACCAGGGCTCCCCCACCCCTGCCCAGGTGCTTCTGGGTTGACTTGACCCTCCATCCTTTCTGTTAGTAGCTGTGCTTGTTAATCATTTGCCCGCCTAGAAGGGTAATTCAGAACCAGAAGACGTGAATAAAAAGCAAACCAAACTCACGGCCATCTAGTCAATTCTGACTCATGCTGACCCGATAGGACAGGGTAGAAAGTCTTTGTTCTGTGGAGTGGCTGATGGTTTCGAACTGCTGACCTTGCAGTTAGCAGGCCAACGCGTAACCTTACCCAGGGCTCCTAAATGGTTAGTAGTAAAATGTCTCTCCTTGCTCCACCCTCAGCTAACTGGTGTCCCTTCTTCCTCATAACCTGCTCAAGAGTGGTCAGTTTCTTGTGCACTGACAAGGGTTTCTTTGTGTTGTTTTTCACGGAGGCTCCTTTAATGTTTGGCTGGGTTTTGCAAGAATGATAAGACTTGGACACTGAACCCTTGGATCCTCCCCCCGCCCCCCAATCCCCGGGGTGGGTGACATGTGCCGGAGTTGGGAACCCAGTAGTCCCCATCTCAGTAAAGGGACATTGACAGGAGCCCAGGGTAACTAAAAGGGTGGTTTGCTTGAAAGAACTGAAGTGGAATGAAAGGTGGCCTTCCTCCAGAATGAGCAGGTGGGGAGACCATACATCAACAAAATCAAATGCATGCATGTGTGTGCATGTGTGGGTGTATCATAGGCAGGGGTCACAAAGCAGAGATCTTAGGGGAATAGTTACAAACTGTTTGAATGTGCCTTTGTGTATTTAACTGCGACAAGGTCATGTTAACCAAACATTACTATGCAAAGCACAAGGTGACTACCACTATTGTATCCCGTCTGCTGGTAAGCACACAAGACAATCCTTGCACCCACCATCTGTCTGCTGTAAGCCCCATTTGGCCACTCAACCTTCCTCCACTGGAAGGAGCCTCAGCACCTTGAACATAATTGCACAGAGTTGCTGCCTGCCCTTGCCTCCTCACCTGGACGACTTCCCCTTCTGTGCATGATGCACACCAGCCTGGCCGCTGTTGGGAGACTAAGTGTGAGACCAGGCCCTTAACCCACATGCCTGCCTGATGGGCTCCCTCCCCCTGCCCTGCCTCTTCTTGAAGCCATCCCCTTTCCAAGACCTTTATCCCCGTGTCCTTCTTCAATAATCCCAACACCACTTGCACAGTCTAGCCCCGAACAGCTTGGCGTGGCCTGTCTAGACTAAAGCCCCCTGAGAACAGGATGTAGGAAAGCCCCAGCCTGCCTTCAGAGCAAGGGCTTGGTAAATGTTTGCTGAGCAAATGAACATTTGGAAAAGAGCCCATTTAAACTGGGCGACTAGGGCTCGTTAACCCAAGGATTTTTCAGAACCGTAATAAGCTGTGCTCATTGTAAGTCGGCCCTGCAGGTGGAGTCAGACCCCAAGCACAATGTAAGAAAGGCTTTGTACAACTCAAATGGATGGAGGGAGGGGGGCAGCTTGGCAGGAAGGTTATTTGCAGCCCAGCACAATGAATCAATCCCTAAGCATCTTTCTAGAAAAGCTCAGGGAGGGAAAACTCGTATCAAAGTACCAGAGCCATTGTGAGTAATTAGAAACCTGCAGCGTGGGTGCTGTCTTTGTATCTTAGAGGGGAGGGGGACGATGAGGATTTCTTACAGGCTGAGTGATGTTCTTGCTCTCCTGACCCTGTTTTCCTCACAGGGTCTTAGGTCTCTGAACCACCAGGCAGGACTTGAGAGTTTCCAAAGAGCCCCAGACCCTGGAGCTTGGTTTCCAAGCCTGACATCTTGACAAGTGAAAATCCCATGAAATCAATGGGAATAGCAAAGCCGGGAAGACAGGTGTACAGACTCCCTGGGAGTGGGGTGACTCTGCTCAGGGCAGCGCATAGTAAGCAGAGGGGCCGGGCACACTCAGGTTGGCCACCATTAGCAGGAGGGGATACTTTGGGGGTTGTCTTGGTTCCTTGAACAAAGGGGAGTTAATTACAGGAAATGTCAGGCTGTTTAAAAGCCATTTGTCAAGCCTGCAGGGAGAGCCTTTTACAGAGCCCTGGGGGAAGGACTGTTCTGGGCCAGGCCTCAGTCCCCCTGCAGATGAAAACCGTGAGCCCTGATGGTGCCTTTTCTGGGCAGGACCATGCAGGAAGTTCACCAATTTCCTCCCCTAAGCCGCTTGCTGTCCTGAGGTCTTCAGCCAGCTGAGAGGGTCAAAGGCTCAGTGAACTCGAAGGGTCTTTCATTTTGTTCAGCCAGTGGCTGACCATCACTGGGATTTTCCCAAGGCCAGACAAGCTGCACTTCTGCAGTTTAGTCCCTGTGGATCAGAGGTGGGGAACCACCGTCCTTTACAATGCGGGGCGTGAAATCATCAATACCAACTAACATCGCATGCCTCACCCAAGAGAAGCTGTTCCAGCCATCACATTAGGGGTGACTTAATCAGATGCTTGACCAAATATAGCAGACGAATTTGATAATTGTGTCTGGCCCCACGAGTGGTCCTTGGCAGAAAAAGGCTCCCCACCCCTGCTGCAGATGGTACCTGTCAAAGTGCTTGCTAGATAAGAGTGAAACAGCGGCGCCCTGATGGGAGGACCTGTTAAACCTGTTAAACCTCCTAAACCTCCTATTGCTGCTTCTCCAGAACACTTAGTGACTCCGAGCATTGACAGTGGCCAGTGGACTAGAAGCCCATTGCTGCTCATTTTCCTTCCTTCCTGAAACAGGAGGAGGAGGTGGTAGGAAGAGTGGGTATCATGTGAGGATGCCTGGGATCTGCATTTGAACAAGAGCTCCGGGGATCCATGTGGGCATTCTAATTTGAGAAGTCGGGTCTGGGGAAGCAACTCTGCACCCGCCCGCAGCTCTCTCCTCTGCTGCTCATTAGGATGATCTGCAGAGCTTTCCCAGCCTGCGTGAACATCACCTCCAAAGATTCTTGTTTCTCTGTGCCAGTGTTGTTGAGGTAGTCATGCACAGACACATCTTTAAAGCTGGGGTTTTAATGTCCAGCCAGACTGGGAACTGCTGCCTTGGGCAGGAAGTCTGGCGTCATGAGGTAGAAGCCTCGATACAGATGGCCTGCCACCACAAAGCAGAAGTCTGCTGTGGTTAACTGGGGGTCCCACCCCCCGAAGTGTAAAGCCCTGCACATCAGATGGGAGGGATCTGGTGTCCCCAGGCCAAAGCTGGGTTTGTTTATCCCTAATTAGATGTCGAGGAGCCCTGGTGGTATAGTGGTTATATGTCGGTCTGCGATCTGAAAGGCCAGCAGTTTGAAACCATCAGCCTTTCCTTAGGAGAAAGAGGGGGCTTTCTACTTGTGTAAACAGTGACAGTCTCTGAAACTCGGGGCAGTTCTACCCTGCCTTATTGGGATCCACTCGAAGGCAGGGAGTTTGGCTTGGGTTTTAAGTGGATGTCTTGGAGTGACCTTAGAAAGACAGAGATTGCTGAGCAACTGCAATTGGAGAACCAAAACGAAGCCCTCACTGCCATCGAGTCAATCCCAACTCAGGGTGACCCTCTAGGGCAGAAGGGAACTGCAACTCTACAGGAATAGAAAGCCGCATCTTTCTCCCTCCGAACGGCTGGTGGTTCTGAACTGCTGGCCTTGTGATTAGCAGCCCATCTCGTCACCCAATAGGCTGCCAGGACTCCTTTGTCTGCCAGAGAAGTAGCTTAGGGGTTAAGTCCCATCACCTCACTGTCACCTTCCTTCTTATTTAAAACTCTTGCGTGACACCGGCCCCGCCTAAGGTGAAGACCAGTTCCTGACCCACTCCATGAGGCGCTGCGCTGAGTCCCATCGCT